CAAATTTCTTTGTTTAAACCCGGAGGGACCCAGTCAGAACTCTGGAATGTAGGAAAGAAAAAAGATTAAGACTACAAATAGTAAATACTTTAATGCACATTGTCAGCCCATACTGTCAGCCCTGGAATATTCTTTTGAGGCAGGATTAGTAAAAGTATGGATAGAAAAGAGAAAATAAATTTTTAATCGGGGTTAAGGTTCACATAACATAAAATTAACCATTTTCAAGTGTACAATTTAGTGGGATTTAGTACATTTACAATATGGTACAGCCACCACATCTCACCCAAAGGAAACCCCCAACCCATTATGCAGCAGTTCCCGCTCTCCTCTCTCCTATACCCTAGAAACAACTCATTTGCTTCCCTGTCTATATGAATTTGCCTATTCTAGGTATTTCCTATACATGGAATCATACAGTGTATTTGGCTTCTGTAACTTAGTGTGTTTTTGAGTTTCATCCACATTAGATCATCTGCCAATGAGAAAGAACATTCCTAAGGCTGCAAAAGCAGAAGTACAGAACCCAAAGCACAGAGCAAACCACTTAACATAGAAAACAGGGCCAGTGATCACTGCCACCAGAAGCCTTGGTGAGTACAAGACAGTGGTGCCACTGGACAAGTGAAAGAGGTAGAAGGAGGCTCGGGGTAGCATTGAGGGGTAGAAAATTTGTGCTGGACATTCAAGTTGGAAGGGCTCAGAAAAGTTCACCCTGGAGATGTCTGGCTGGCTGCAGAAATCATGAGGAGCTTTAAAAAGAAGCCCCAGGGTGGCCGCAGACAGGAAGAGGCAAGGAGCTGCTTGTCTCCTGTCCTCTGAGGCTGAGGGGCTACACCAGAGGTGCATTCATCCATTTACAAAATTTCAGAGGCGAACAACAAAGAGCAAAGCTCAGGCTCCAGATAGAACAAATCTTATCCTCATACTAAAGCTGAACTCATAGTGTAGTTGTTCTGGCTTTTGTGAAAAGAGCCCATCCATGGAGACAACAGCTACCATTTCTCAATAAGTATCTACCCTGCCATCTTGGTAGTCTGTGACCCTAGATTCCATCACTCACTACTTCCAGCACAATCTACCAGTGTCTAATCCTCCTGAGACCCCTGATTCATACAACTCCAGAAGTAAAATACTTATTTCATCCCAACTGAGCAATCCCTCTGTGTAATTTTAACCCACTCAGGGAGGTGTTAACCCTCCTCACATCTACTCTGAGCCAATATCAGGCTCTAGGGAGGTCCTCGACTCACCTGGCCTTGCTATCATGTCAATCACAGCAATAATCATTTCTTCCTCCCAAGAGATGCCAAGTCTTCCACAAACCCATTTAAGTATGCAAAAGAATCTGCTTGCTTAAAAAATAAATATACTCAGCACTCTGTATATCCATGGGCTCCACTCCCAGACATTCAACCAACCATAGGTTGCAAATATTTCAGAAAAAAATATTGTGGCTATCCTGAACACATACACATACAGACTTTTTTTCATTGTTATTCCCTAAACACTAGAAGATAACAACTATTTACAGAGCATTTACAGTGTAATAGCTATTGTGAGTAATCTAGAGATGACTTAACGTCTACCGATGGATGATCACAGCTTATCTGGAAATACTATATCATTTTACATATGGGTCTTAAGCATACATGATTTTAGTATCTGTAGAGATCCTGGAACCAATCTGCAGATTCCACAGGATCACTATACTTTTATATGTGAGTGTGTGTGCGTGTATGTATGTGTGTGATATGTATAATTACATATTAACACAAAAACATACACACATATCAATTTTTATAAAATATACTACTAAGGCTGGAGGTGTGACTCAAGGGGAAGAGTGCTTGCCTAGCAAGTGCAAGGCCCTGAGTTCAAACTCCAGACCTCCAAAAAAGAAAAAATACACTCCTAAATTATTTTCTATATCCACAAGGTGAGACTTAAACTGGAAATCATATAGCCTACCTTCAAGTAAATCTAGAGAAAGGGAAAGGAGAGAGTTAAAGTATCAGGAACTATAGCTATAGAGACAAAAAAGAGCTTCAGTTGAAGGACAAATTTCCTATCCTGGGGCAACTCCAGGTGGAAGTTAAGGGGCAATGCCTACCTTGATGAAAGCAAGTTCTCAGACACTAAGCTGTTGCTCTGTGACACCCTGCCAGGTCCCCCAACAAGCTTGTTCACCACAGCACTCTATTCTCTTCCCACTGTCCCTTCCCTCACCCACCGTGTATCAGGCACTGGTCCAGCACAAGGACCCCATAGTGAACCACATAGACAAAACACTGTCCCTGTCCTATGGGTTCAAATTCCAGAGGTGCATTGGATGGAAGAAAGACAAAGAAATAAAACAGATGGCATTTTCAGATGGTTGTGTGTGGCCTTGAGCACAGGCAATGAGGGAGAACCTAGAGGCAGAAGCACTTACTACTCTGCAGTAATTTATGTTGCCTACCTGTGTGCCAAACTGAAATGCAGGCCCCATGAGGGCAAGGACTGAGCTGCTTATTCACGTCTGAAAGAAGAGTGATGCTGGACATTTGGATGGGTGGGGAATGACTGGGTGAATCAGGAAACCAAAACTGAACTGCTAAGTGAGGCTGTCAGCAGGTAATATGGCAGCCTGAACCAACGTCTTAAAGCCTTCAACAATAGCTTTTCAATTTCACCAATGTGCAGGATGTTTTCCAAGAAAACACTCAGCTTTAATCTTGTAATGGAATTAAAAAACAAATCAGTATTTATATTGCTATATGCAAATAAATATATATGTATATATATTCATTTTCTAGACCATTTTGCTAAAATAATTACTCTCTAAAATTAAAAATATCTATATTTAAATCATATTGGCTGAGTGACAGATATAAGTAAACACACATTCCCTGTTTACAGAGCTTTGTTGGACAACCAAAACATACTTTCCTTCTCATTGGAAGAGAAGACTCAAGAAAAAAGCTACTGCTTAAAAGAGCAACACTGGAGGTATCACAATACCTGACTTCAAACTATACGAGTCATAGCATATATGCATGGTACTGGTACAAAAACAGGTATGAAGACCAGTGGAACAGAATAGAGGACCCAGATATGAATCCACACAGCTATGCTCACCTTATTTTTGACAAAGGTGCCAAAAACATACAACAGAGAAAAGACAACCTCTTCAACAAATGTTGCTGAGAAAAGTGGTTATCTGCCTGCAGAAAACTGAAACCAGATCCATGCGTGTCACCCTGTACTAGTATCAACTCAAAGTGGATTAAGGACCTTAATATCAGACCCGAAACCTTGCAGTTAGTACAGGAAAGAGCAGGGAATACACTGGAAACAATACGCATAGGCAGCCCAGCAACTAAGAGAAAGGATGGACAAATGGGACTATATGAAATTAAAAAGCTTCTGCACAACAAAAGAAATAGTCTCTAAACTGAAGAGACCACCCACAGAGTGGAAGAAAATATTTGGTAGCTATACATCAGACAAAGGACTGATGACCAGAATAAACAGGAAGCTCAAAAAACTAAACTCCCCAAAAATCAATGAACCAATAAAGAAGTGGGCAACTAAACTAAACAGAACTTTTTCTAAGGAATGAAGTCCAAATGGCCAGAAAAACACATGAAAAAATGCTCACCATCTCTGGCCATAAAGGAAATGCAAATCAAAACCACACTAAGATTCCACCTCATTCCTGTTAGAAGAGCTACCACCACCAACAAATACTGGTGAGGATGCAAGGAAAAAGGAACCCTCAAACACTGCTGGTGGGAACGTAAGCTAGTGCAACCACTTTGGAAAACAATATAGAGGCTTCTTAAAAATCTAAATATAGATCTTCCATATGACCCAGCAATACCACTCCTGGGGATATACCCAAAGGAATGAGACTCAGGTTATTCCAGAGGCACCTGCACATCCATGTTTATTGCAGCGCTATTCACAACAGCCAAGTTATGGAAACAGCCAAGATGCCCCACTACTGACAATGGATTAAGAAAATGTGGTATTTATACACAATGTATTTTTTTTTTATTCAGCCACAAAGAGAATAAAATTTTGTCATTCGCAAGTAAATGGATGGAACTGGAGAACATCATCTTAAGCAAAGTTAGCCAGGCTCAGAAGGCCAAAAATTGTCTGTTCTCCCTCATATGCAGATTATAGACCTAAAACAAATGTAGTAATATTATTGGACATGGGTCACACACTAAGGGCAGAACACGCATGGGAGGAAAAGGCAAAGGCAAAGAAAGGAAACCTAAAACTTGAATGTGGTTGATGTGCTCACTGTAGAGGAGCAAATATAGTAATTTTAAACTGGCAGAGGCCACTAAGAGAAGAGGACCAGGAAGTAGTGAAGAGGTCTGGCAGAGATGAACCAATGTGGGTTTCAATACACAAATGCATGGAAGCAACACTAGGAATCTCTGTACAGCTATCTTTATCTCAAACTAGCAAAAATGCTATTACTCTTATGTTTCCTCTTCAACAAAATCAGAGACCAAGAGGGCAGAACCTTGTGGGGGGGTAGGGAGGTGGCCCAAATAATGTATACACATGTAAGTAAATGTGAAAATAATAAAATAAAAGAAAGAAAAAAGCTACTGCTTAATTCTGTATACTAGTAATAATATACCCCATTTGGACACACTGAAGGAATTAATGACCTGCTCATCCGAATAGAAATTATTTTAAAAAAATAGATTTAGACCAGAGCCCAACAAGCCTTTTCTATAAAAGGCCAGAAAATAAGTATTTTAGGCTTTGCAAGAAACATGCAGGCTTTGTCCCACAGTCTTCTTTGCCTTTGGAATGTTTATGTTGTTTTTTTATTTGTACACAGTATTAGAAAAATATAAAAATCAATTCTTAACTCCTTAACTTCTATCATTTGTTGACCCCTGATTTCCAGCACAAGAATGGGACACACAGAGCCCCAAATTCCTAACAATTCACCCCCAGAAGGAAAGGCCTCCACATTTCTGCATTACCTCTTTCAGTTTCTCCAGCTCATTCTGGAGGGCCTGCCTGGATATTTCCACTTCAATCATCTGTTGTCGGAGAGTTTCATTTTCATCTTCAGCTTTAGCGCGCTTTTCCTCCACAGTCTCAAGTTCATGGTGCAATCTGACAGACACATCTTTGGCCACCTGCAAAAACCAATATAGAGATCATCGTCAGGACAAGAAGTTTTGGGGTTTAAAGGCATATTCAGACCACTTCATAGGCAGAATCATTAAATACTGTGCACAACTCAAAAGGCCCTGGAAATATTTCACAGGCCTACATTTAACAGAAGGTATTTTAGCTTAAGCGTATCTGATCCAAAAACCCAACATTTGAAATACTCTGAAATTAGAACCACTTCTGGTCCCAAGCAATTCAGATAAGGGCTACTTAACCTGTACTTTTTTTTTTTGGTGGGACTGGAGTTTGAACTCAGGGCTTTGAGCTTGCAAACCAGGTGCTCTACTGCTTAAACCACACCTCTAGTCCTCAACCTGTACTTTAAAACATGAAAACAACATTGAGAGAGAGAATATGACTTTCATCTGGACTCAAAGGCCACTTTGGATAGTCCCATTTCCTCCCAGAATATCACCAAGAATGCCAATTCTCCCTGCCCGTGTATGTGCTTTATGGGACAAATTAAAAATAAGAAGAAACAAATCAATGTATCTATTCCCTAAGGTATACTCAGCCCGCTTACTAAAAGGAAAACAAATAATTCTGTCTGCAGTAGATATTCAATGTACAAGTTTTAAGTCATCTGCTATGGTTCTGGTGTGGTTAACTCGTGTGAATAACACGTGTGGATAGTCTAAGCAATTAAACATCTTTACTTTCTAAAAGCAACTGAGGAAAGACTTTATAAGAGAAATATAAATCACCCTTTCTCACACTGAATGGCATTTTGTTAGCAGTTTATAACTTTGATAGAATAACAAAGATTCCTTTCCTGTTATAAAGAAAGTTAGATGAGAGGACATTATGCATAATTCATCTCTAGATAAGTGATTTGATAATCAGGCCGTGACAGAAGCTTTGCTGCTGATACAGCAAGGAAAGGGTATAAAAGCTTAAGATTCCTTCATCTCAGTACTATTTCTGTCAGTGGTTCTCAAAGACGATTAGACAATCAGTTATGATCCAATTTCTCTTCAGTTAAATCACCCGTAGACAAGTCTCACTTGGGTTATGGGAATGTCAGATTTTCTGCATTCCAGAAACCTAAATAACCATAAAAGTGTTAAGGAAGATGGTGAACTTTTTGGGGGATGAGTGGGGGGATGGTACTGGGGTTTGAACTCAGTGTTTTGTGCTTGCTAGACAAGCACTCTACCACTTGAGGCACACCCTAGCCCTTTTTGTTTTATTTTTCAAGCAGTGTCTCAGATTTTTGCCCAAGCTGGCCTAGACCACAATCGTATTTACATGTCCCTATGCCACCACACCCAGATTACTGGTTGAGATGAGGTCTCACTTTTTTGCTCCCAATCTCTGACTCCTGAGTAGCTGAATTTTATAGGTGTAAGCCTTTGACTGACTTGGTAATCAATAGAACTGTTTTTTGGGGGATTTTTGGCAGCGCTGAGGTTTGAATGCAGGGCCTCACACTTGGTAGGCAGGCACTCTTACCACTTGAGCCACTCCTCTAGCCTTTTTTTTTGTGATGAGTTTTTTCGAGATAGGGTCGTGTGAACTATTTGCCCAGGTCTGGCCTTGAACTGTGATCCTCCTGTTCTGTTTTCTAAGTAGTTAGGATCCACCAAGAACTTTTTAATATATGTCATATCTTTAAGAATCTCTGCACAATTTCTATCCAATTGTCAGACCAACTGGCAGATATTTACTTTTTTTTATTGTAGGTCCATTACTAGGACTTTCAAAAAAGGTTTAGTGCAGTCCATTTTATGACACATATTTAAATCCTGGGCCATCAAAGTTATATGACTACATATTCTTTATAAGCCATAAAGAAAACCCAGAATGTTTATACTGAAATCTGTTGAGAAAGCAAGAAAACAAGATGAAGAGCCTGTGTTTCTCCAGGCTATAGCCCAGCTACCTGACAAGCTAAAGTGGGAAAATCTTTCTAGTACGGGAGTTCAAGTACAGCCTGTGCAACATAAAGAAACCCCATCTAAAAAAAAACTGTGGCTCAGAAGTAGAGCACTTGCCTAGCATGCAGGAAGCCCTGGATTCCATCTCTGACACTAAAAAAAAAAAAAAAAAAACTCTGTATGAGGGGTCTAGAGTTATATTTTCAGATTTTTCATATGAGTAACCCTGTGCCTCCTGGCAATGCCAGGCCATGAACCCCTCTCACTCACCTTCAAATCCTGCTCCAGGCTTCTGATAAGCTCACCATCCACTTGCCCTGTCTCTGCCACTTTCAGGCTTTTCTGCTCGGCTTTCCTGAGACGGTACTGCAGGATTCGGCAGTTTTTGTTAGCACGGTCCAGTTCTCGTCGAAGCTCCTGCAGCTGATAAACATCTTCCTCTAAATAGCTGTCTCGCATCTCTTCCATCTCTGCACGAAGTTCATCCAGCTCATCCTAGGAAACCAGACAAGATGCATGAGCCAAGCCCATACGAAAAGGACATCATCTCCTCCAGCCACTAACCCAGCCCACTTTCACAGCTCACGACCACACCTGGTGATACTGAAAGGGACCTCTGGGAATTCTCTCAGGAGATGTCACTAAATATCTGTTTAAATATCCTGGACCCTGAAACTGAAAACCAGCCTAGATGAATTGTAACAGCCTCTTAGAACTCATTCCATTCCCAATATTTCCTTACATAATCATAAATGAAATCAACTCTCCAGATAATTAAGACTTCAGATGTAAACTCAACATTGACCTAAACCTATACCTTGTTTTGTTATTTGGCAGTAGTGGAGTTTAAAACTCAGAACCTCATGCTTGTCGGGCAGGTGCTCTACCACTTTTTTTTTTTTTTTGGCAGTACTGGGGTTTGAACTCAGGGCCTCACACTTGCTAGAAAGGCACTCTATCACTTTTGAGCCACACTTCAGCCTAAACCTCTATCTTTAAGGCACAGGTTAGATACTAAGTGAATCAGACAGATCCTGCCTTCAATACACATAAACTTTAGTGAAATAATACCTGGTAAAGGCCCTGGAATTTTAGCATAGCTGCAGATGTCTCTAAAATACTCTTCCACTGACCACAGTAAAGTATATTCACAACGGGTAGACATCAAGAAACCCCTTTGAACATCGACTCTGGAATTAATAATGAAAAACAAGACTGTGAAATAGGTACAAGGAGGGGTACTTGTAAGAGGCGGGAGGGTGAATGGAGGAGATGAAGGTGAGGGAATATGGTTGATGGGCTTTATATACATATACAAAATAGAACAATGAAACCTCTTGCAATTGCTTTAAGGGGCAGGAAGGAGGCTGAGGGGAAGAGATGGTGGGGTGGGTAATCTAACCAATGTACACTGTAAGGGTATTCTGAATTGTCACAATGAATCCCCCCTAGGAAGAAATATATCCTAATAAAAATGGAAAGCCCATTATTTTGGACTAAACTCCTGCACTAGGCCCCAACAGACCTAAATGTGTGAAGTCATGCACAATAAACCTCCATGTCACCAAACCCAAAACTAAATCATGTAACCTTCTAAGAAATGAGGAGAGAGGGAACAGCAAAATGTCCAAGGAGGCCAATTTGTATGGCATGATAATGAATTCCCTTGTTTTAATCCTTCCAGGGCCAGAAACCTGGGGTAACCTGAGGTTAACTAATCAGTTATTTTTCTGTGGTTCTGTCTCCCTGTCATGGCCTCAAAAGGAAAGGAACTTTGTAACCACCGATACCTCTTTGTTCTTTGTTTCTGCTTCTCCAGTCCCTCCATGTCTGTAAAACTCATTCATTGTTAAGAAGTATGCCTGATTCTAGAATTGCAAGTGAAGCCAATGCAAGTTTTTAATCGAACTTACTATAATTTTGATATTTGACAAGGAAAATTCAAGGCATCACCCAGGGCTCCCAGCTTCCCTCCCAGTCCACAGCAAAGCCCTTAGTGAGCTCTTTTCTCTGCTTCAGCACCTCAGCCCAGTTCAAGGACCCAGGTACAGGCCTCCATCCTCCTTTGCAAAAGACACCAAGGCTCCAGGCTCCACACCCCCATTCCTCACCACCCCCCACCCCAATCCTCCTAAAGCCCATTCTCCTTCCAGCAGTTATTCTTTAATATGCAAATCAGATTACCCCACCCCCTACCAAAACCCTCAAGGGCTTCTTTCTTTCTGATCCTCCCCACACTGACCTCACAGGGCCTGAGACTATGGTTGGGGCCTGGAGGCCTCACCTGCTATCCCCTCTCCTGGAAATGCTCCCTCCTGGTTGGTGGGAAGCTCAAGGCTTCCGTAAAGCAAAAGGCACATAGGTAAAGCGTCCCCTGAGCAGCACCCTCCAGCCCACCTTGCCTTGCTCTATCTCCTCCCACCTCTCACTGCTCTCTTATTAACTGTACCTTTTTTTTTCCTATTTATTACTGTTGCCTATCCTAAAAGGCTAAGTTTTGAAGGACTGAAACTTTGTCTGCTTGCCCTTCTGAGCAACATAAGGCACACAGTAGGCTCCGAAAAAAGTATCTGTGGAATGAATACAGAATGAACACCAGTCTACCAGATCACAGAGACTTTACACAGCGTTGCTCTGTTCCAGTCTTGCAACCTAATTGTGAAAACTTCTCCCCAAATCCAGAGATGCAGCTGCAGGATGCGGAATAGACAGTCTACTGAAGTGTTCTGAAAGATTTCAACAAGAAGCAATTTGGAAGGAAGGAGATTAAGGAAAACATCCTAGAAATTTTCCTACATGGTTTAATAATTGGTGGTTCAAATGCCTCAAGAATAGGAAGTAGTTATTCCTTTTTAGTTTGCTCAGTTAATATAGAGGCTCAAGAGAAAACCTCTCGGACTAGGGGCATGGCTCAAGTGGTATAGTGCCTGCCTAGCGAGGACAAGGCCCCAAGTCCAAACCCTAGTACCCTGCCTCCTCCTCACCAAAAAAGAAAAAGAAAAGGAAATCTCAACATGGAAAAACGTTAGAAAGTATAACCAAGTGTCATTTCTTATTTCCTTCTCAGAGATCTCTCCCTCCAAATCTTGTTCCTTGTAGGAAAGATCTGCTGGGACTGGAGGTACTGGACAGAGCTTACAGCTGACCAGTTGAATACATGTAAACAGCATGAGCAAGCCCACACCATGGCTCTGGTGGTGGGGGCTGTGCCCCTAAACTGGAAGAGCCTCATGGCTGACCAAAGACTTTAAAATGGGCCTGTGGTTATCACTGTTTTTGACAGAAAATTAGTCCTGGATTTTCAAAAAATCAAGTTCAAATTTCACTCACATCCCAGCCACAATTCTAAAGAAGCAAACTTTGAGAAACAGCCTAATGGAAACACTTGGTTCTCAGTACAATTAGGAGGTAATTGTTTCACTGGGTAACTAATAAACAAAAATTAAATACAAGCAGTAGTCACTGTCTGTTCACTGTTTGTATACCACTAAGTCAATATACATGTTCATATAAACATACAGTCTTTGGCTCTTCTGTTCATGGAAGAAATTGCTTGTGATGGCTTTTCCTTCTGGAAAGAGTCTATAAAAGTCAAAGTCATTAATGCCTGGAGTTGCATATTACTCAAGCAAAAGTTCTTAAAATGAAGAACGATGGAAGACACAACTTCCAGGTATGAAAATGCTCTCTAGTATTAAATGTTTCGACAGAAGAGCCTTGTGCACTCTAATGTTAAGTGGTGGATACGGTATACAGGTGTGTAAGCAACCATTACAGGCTAAAAATCTGTTAAGGCTATACACACCACACCACCAAATCACTGAGCAGGCTAATGTAAAAGATAATATTTTTTAGCGTAAAGAATCATCAACACTAGTGCACTGAAAAGTAATTGCTTTTGTAACTCATATTTTATCTAAATTTCTAAAGCAGAAGATATCCTTTATTAAACACTTTGCCTTCGTTACTTACAATACAATAACTGTATCAGGTACATATTACCCCCATGTTAACTGACCCAAGCCTGACAGCTACTAAAAGAAAGCAGTCTACAAGCCTCCGCTTCGAAATGCACATGAACTTCCCAATAAATACTACAAGTGATTTGCTGGGACTGATGAAACTGTACTTTTAAAAGCCCACCATCGTGTAAACTACTAAAAGCAGCTTGGCATTTAGAGCCTGGCAATTGTCGATGCACAAAGCACATCCATTAGAGCAACTGGTCCTCAGAAAAACACTGCAATGTGCACCAAAGATAAAGATGCTCATTTCAAACATGAGGACACTGAGAAGCCAAGAGTCTAAATAGCTTCCCACCCACCCTACATCCAGTGCAGAGGCAGGACTGGGACCACTGTTCCCACTCTTCTTGTGAAATCTGGAAAAAAGCAATTTTCAGGTTCGGCAAAAGGAAGTTACAAAAGAAGCAAATTATAAACCACACAAGCTGGCAGCAGTCACTTGAGAAGCAAAAACTGCTATTATTCAAATTAGGGTCATGATGGATAGTGATTTTCAAACTAGCATTACATTAATTTTCCAAGGGCATGCTCTAATTCAGAAAACATCGTATTCCACATTCTTAAAATGTCTGCCATTTAAATGTTTAAGAAAATCAAATGAAGCAGAACATAGTGTTTCTGACAGATAAAATTTTAGAGATAGTAAATAAAAGCAGAAATTTATGTTGTTTTATACACAGAAATTAATAAGAAAAAAGTCCTTAATTAACAGTTTTATATTGAATTAATATCAGATTTGTTGGATATTTAACTGCTATAGCAATTTCTTATTGAAAAGCTAATCTAGTTTTAATTATATTTTTCAAATATCCTATATAAAGTAGCTTTTTGAAGAAGTCTGAAGCTGTCCAACTATTCCTTTTTGCCTACAGATAACAAATCAAGCCTTATTATACCCAAATTAGAGAAATAATGAGGTGCCAAGTGTGCAACTGAATAAACCAACATTAAATGTTTCACTCAAAACCTCTAGAATACTTTTGTCTATAAGGACCAAATTCATGACCTCTTAGTATACATGATCAAAACTCTTGATCATTCTTATATATATTCAAATCTTAATCTCTCTTAAAACAACTCCAAATCAATAACTACTTCTATTTTAGTAACTCCTTTTTAAATAGACTCAAGGTGGACACCAGAAGCAATGCTCTGACTACTGGTGCAATAATTCCATCTTCTGGGAGTTGCAGACAGAAAATAATTGTCTTCTGTCACATACAAATAATCCACCTCATCTCCCTCCAGACAATGGAAATGCTCTCTGCAGAGTCCCAGCTGTAGCTAAGAAGACACAGGGACTTCTGGCATTGTTTACCAAGTACCAGTCCAGCCAGCAGCTGAGGGGCTGTGGCCCTGCTCAGCATCATCTTGTCACCGAAGGGTAGTATAGTGATGCTTTCACACAACTGGATAAAAAAACGGGCATAGAAAGCAGAACGCCAGGAAAGAAAAGGGAATATTGTCCATGTTGGCTCTTCCAAAATAAAGGAAGGGAAAAGAAGAAGGACCTGAAACACTTCAGGGGCTGAGAGCTGCTCATCTGTGCCCCAAAGTGTCCCCCTCTAGGCCATGATAAGCACCTGGCATTTGGCAGCCAAATGTAACAAGTCATGTCAGAGCCTGTAAGTCAGAAATCTCCCCCAAGTAAGAAGCAGGATGGCAAGGCTGGATCAGTGGGGAGACGCTGCGACCTATAAAAGCAACCTCAGGCAGGGGCTGGGCTGTAGCTCAGTGAAAGAACATGTGTAGCGCTCACAAGGCCAGGGTTCAATTCCCAGCACTTCCCCCAAATCTTCCTGATCTCTCTTAGGACATCACTCTTCCCAAGGAGCCAGTATTATCTGTCCTTGTCTTCTTTTAACTAAAAATAATTCTTATGAAATAACTGAGAAAACATAGCAAAAAGAAACAGCCCTTCTACCCCAATCCTGGCCCCTGCAAGCACCCATCAGCATTGTGAGTGTCCACTCTCTGGGGGTAGTTATGAACATATCAGCAGTAAGACTGCTAAAGCATTTTCAAAACAGGCCAGTAGACTCAAAGTGATCACATCCTCCTGAAAGGCCTGTGGAAACAGAGGACGTAATTAATATGTTGGCGACAAGCACTAAGGCTTGTCTGATTGCCCTACAGCTCTCGAGCAAAACAGTTGTGGCAGCCTGGCAGGGAGGAAACACACCAGCGTGTTGTGGAAGTCAGTCCTTGGCATTAAGAAACATGCCTGGGTTTGTCTGGGAAAGAAGCAAAAGCTCTGTGATAACTGAACTCCTCTGCTTACCTTAAATTCTGAACACTTGCAGAACCTTTCAGTTCATCAAAAAGGTCAAAGGAAAAGCCAAGTGTGTTTCTGCCTGTTTTCAAGCAAAGGCTACCTGTATTGATTCATGTTGTTTTTCACCTCATCACCCCAGTGCCCTTTGATGAAGGGACAGAAAGTATAGTCAGGGATGACCCCACTTGCTTCACACAGCACAACAGAAGTCATGTTAAAAACCAAGAGAATTCCACTTGAACTTCCTGATCAATAAGACATCCTCCTAGATTGTGCTGGCCTTATCTTCCTGTTTGATTGGGCTTTGATCATTTAAGATTTGAAACTGTGACAGTCTTGCACAGCAATAGTGACAGCACTGACTTGAGAAAGAATATAATGCTTTATATGGTCACAACCCTCCAAAATATAGAAGTAAAACTTGTAGGCCAAGTTTCTTTTTGGTAGATAACATTTGAACAATTGGATGCTATATCTAATCTCAAGAGTTCTGTGCAACATTCCCTTAGAAAGCAGTAGGTCAAAGATGTACTTTTATCTATTCTCTTTAAAAAAAAAAAAAAAGTATCTTTGAGCAACATCAACAACAAAAAGCAAAGCTTGGTTTAGAATATGCATACTGTAACCACCATATGCAAAGAAAGGCATATCTGCCACCTATGCCCCATGAGGTCACTGACGCTCAGGGCCTGATTTTGCACAAGGGCCTGATTTTGGGCAAGCTCACTGGCTAGTAGAAAAGTCCACCAGGCTTCCTGTGTTTCTTTCCCAATTAACTACTGTAATTTAGGGTTGTGAAGATCCAATCATGTATATACACAGACATACATGCAATTATTCTGGTTTCCAGTCTCCTTTGGACCCCTCCACCCAATTCTTTCTCCTGCTGTCAATGACTCAGGCCTAGCAAACAGATGCCTGACACTTTCTCCCAGGAAATGGCAAGTGAACATTTCCTGCAAATTAAACTTTGCCAGTGGGACTTGTATGGCCCTTCATGCATAGGCTAGTGGAGAGGAGTTCATTATGGCCTTTCACTTGAAAAAAACAGAAGTCCCCTAATAAAGTGAAACATGGAACATAGAGAGCTAATAATACAGCTCTGAGGCAGGGTACACCAAGAGCAGCAGCCTTGCTAGAAACAAGGGTACAGCCTGCTACAACAAAAAGAGCAGAGGTTCTGGAGACAGCAAAACAGAAGCAGCACCACTTATCGGCTTGGTGACCTTGGGCAAGACCTGAAGTTTCTGGTTCTCAGCATCCTTATCTGTGGAACTGAAGTTGTAACAAACACAACAGAAGCTAAGGATATAAGTCAGTGGTGCCAGGCCCTGAGTTCTGTACCTTACCCCTTGGGAGAAAAAATGTAATACCCATGTTCTTGTGAAGAGCCAAGGAAATGCCAGCTACACTAGATCGGACCCCAGGGTCAGATAACAAAAATCTAACCACGTGGAAAAAATGAAGCAAATAACCAGTGATCCAAGAGTGAACTGTGAAGTAATGTTTGCTACCTTAAGATCAAGGATGTAACGGGAAGCATATCTTCTCTAAAGAAACCCCATTTTCCGTTGCTCGGCAGTCTTAACTTGGATACACATTGTCCAATCAGAAATACTGTAGGGACAGGTGGCAGTGGCTCAAGTCTGTAATCCTAGCTACTCAGGAGGCAGAGATCAGCCAGCCCAGGGCAAACAGTTCAAAGCCAGCTCCAACCAAATAGTTCAAGAGAACCATCTTGAAATACAAACACACACACACAAAGGACTGGTGGAGTGGCACAAGTGGTAGAAATGGCTGCCTAGTAAGTGTGAGGCCCTGAGCTCAAACCCAGTACCACCGAAAAAGAAAACTGTAGGTCATGGGTTATGAGCTGGGTTACCAGCTTGACCTTTCTCAGCCCCAACTTACATTTGTTGGAAATTGCAAAAGCATGAGAGAACCACGCACAATATAATTGTCTTTTCAACACTTTTGATTTTTACTCTGCTGTCTCTTACATAAGAGTAGGTAACAAAAGCAAATGCACTATTGGAAACATCTTGCTCTTGAGACTGTTTCTCTACCTCCTTCTTTGCGCACGATAACATAACCACTGAGCTCCCTGTTGGAGCAGCCCTTGATAACAGACTTGCTTATGAGGACCCATGGTTAATGCACTGATTCCAGCCCAAATTGCAGACTTCATCACCACCTGAAATCCAATCCTCATTCCATTCACCAAAAAAACGGGGCCTAAATCAGGCAGGTTATCATTGCTGAGAAAAGAACTCAAATCACATTACCCACTGACAAAGCAGGGCCACCCCGCTCCTTTGAAAGGGTATTCACCAAGATCTTAACAGATAGCAGGAATAGATTTATACTCCTGGAGTTATTTACTGACCTGAGATTACAATAAATTAAGTCACCTTCCTTTATTTTCTCTCACTCTCAATTACAGCCTCCTTTATTTTCTCTCAAGTTACCTCAATTGTCTGTAACCCTCAACACAATCTAAACCCTCTGTTCTGCATAGCCAGCCTTTCCACATGGAGAAAAATAATGGAGTCGGAATTAAGTACCCCAATGCAAAACAAGACGAAGAGCTGAGAGGCAGGCTCCGAAGAGGCCGCTGAGAGCAGCAGCTCCGTCTGAAAGTACTGAGTGAGACAGAGGCTGTGCTTCCTTGGAAAGAGCTGGCATGGCCTCTCCTAAACACAGGAAGAGGGGCTTTGTAGACACAAAATACTGCTGTCCCCTGAACCGGGCCCACAACTCAAGGAACCACTTCTGAACTTTTTAGCACTGAAAAGGACCAGGCCCCTCTGCCTGTGCTGAGGGCGCGGGGAGGGAAGGAGTAGCGGGATGGGGGGTTACTTTGGGGCCGCTAGATCTTTCTGAAATTGCAGGAGGAGCAGCAGCAGGCAATCCATAGCCTGAGCCAACGCATTCGTGTGTCCACAGACCTGGACGTTTCCACCACAGCTGGTGGCTAGAGACAGCCTCTCCAACAGTGACAATGGCAGGGGTCAACTGATATGTCCAAAACTAGGAAGCTATGTCCCTTAACTAGTCAACAAAAGTAAAGGGCATCCGCAAGACAAGCCAGACTTCTAAAACCAAGAAGAGCTAAGTGTGTGAAGGACCTACAGGTCTTGCTGCTTCTCCACAAGTTTTTGACCTAATCACTAAGACCTAATGAGTGCGGGGCAAAAATACAGAGCAAAAGGAGTAAAGGACTTGAGAGGCCCCAGGAGGAAGGCCGGCAGGGGGTGGGGGTGCACTAACCCCCAGACGCTCCGGGAAAGGGAGGTCTCCGCGACACCGACACCTGCAGCCCAGCCCGCTGCTCACCTTGAGATAGTCGTTCTCAGAGCGCAGCTCTCCATCTCCCGCAGCAGCTCTCCTCTCCCCACCACCGGCACGGGCAGGAGCCGGGCTGCTCGCTGGGGCTGGGCTCCTTGGGGTCCCGGGGACCGCTCGCTCAGGCGGCGGCGCCCCCCAAAATCCTCCGCCGCACCAAGTCCAGGGACCCTGGGGCGACCCCGCCTGGACTGCTTCGGCCCGCGAGACAGGCCCCAGCGACTGGGGCCGGCAAGGAGTGAGGGGGCTCGGGCTGGCCGGAGGCATCCCCCGGGCTGCGGACTCGCGCGGGTGCTCCTCGCTGGGGTTCCACCGCCGTGGGAGCCCTGCCGGCACTCCTCTGCGCTGCGGGGACAGCGGCCCTCATCGGACAGGGTCGGAGGGGCAGTCGAGAGTCGGAGCTGCTATCCGTGTGGCTGATACGCAAGCCTGGGGCCAGGAGCCGGCCACCGAGGTCACAGAAAGGGTGACCGGGGACGGGGTAGCTGGGGACAGGACCGATGGCGCGGGTCGCAGGCCCCGGAGCCGCGCTTGGCTTTGCGCCCTGGCGCGCGGCACTTTCGGTCCCGGAGCCCTCCCGGTCCGGGCAGCGGCTCGGGGACCGCCTCGCTCCGCCCGCCTGTTCCCGGGACGGCCTTGGCCACCGCCGGCACCCTGCCCCGGCGCCCGGCGGCGGCTTCCTTCGCGCCAGGACGCCACAGCGCGCCGAGAGGCGCCGGGCGCGCCAGAGCGGGCGAGCGGCGCCCACCTTACCGAAGCTTGGGCGAGCGTGGCGCGACGCGCCGGGGCTCGCCCGAAAGGGTTGGCTGGGGCTGGGCCGGCGCAGGGGCACGTATGAGTCCCTTAAGGAGGGTCATGCGGCGAAGGCGCATGTTCACCGCCTCCTCTCGCCACGGGTTAGTGGTGGTGCGGTGGTGCTGTCCGCTGTGGCTTAGCGTCCGAAGCTCCTGCCCCGGCCGTTCAGCGTCTCATGCCGGGGCGGGCCGCGAGCGGCAGCCTCTGGGGCAGATCTCCAGGCGCCGGCCTGCGGCCAGCGACGCGGCGTGCACCCTCCCCGCGCACTTCGCCTCATCCACTGTCCCACTGCCCCGCGCCGTTCAGCGCCGCCGCCCGCCGATCCCCCTTCCCCCCTGCACACAACCCTGGCCCCTGTCCCCGCGATCTCTCACCACGGCTGCCCCGCTTTCCCTGCCGAGTCACTGCCGCTCACCCTCCCGGGCCAGCCCGCCGCGGCTCCCAGCCGCTCGCCATCCCCAGGGACCCCGTGCGCGGGGGTGCCGCAGGCCGTCCGATCTCAACAGACAGCACTGGTCTACGAAATGGCGCTGCAGGCGCGTCCGCTCCTCAACGTCCTGCTCCCCGCCCACTGCCAGCCCGCGCCCGCGGCACCGGCTTGCTCCAGCCAGCGCAGTTCCGTCTGAAGAGAACTGCACGCGCACTCCCCTCCACCCGCGTTCCGCGCCCGCGCCCCCGCGCGAGTACTTCGCTCCCGCCCCCCGTCGCATGCCCGCCTCCCGCCAGCCGGCGCCGCGGAGGGCGGGCCTAGCGCCAGTGGCACAGAGCTGCGGGTCCCCGGCCCTGCCAGCCGCCCTTGGAACCCTCCTGAGAATCTTAGACAGGTCCGAATCTGACTAGGGAGGGAGGAAGCGAATAGAGCTGAAGGGGCGGGCACGGCACTTGGAGGCAAGGACCGGAGCTCGTCTGTGAGTGTGCCGCGGCGCCAGGCTTTCTCTCGCGGACCAGGACGCTCTCCTTAGGCCTCTCCACCATCTCCCATCCCCCTTTTCCCCCTTCAGTTCCCTTCCCCCACTGTCTTCTTCAAGCTTGTTCGCGTCCCCGGCGGCCCTTAAGGATTCACTGGTACCCATGCAGCATCGCTCTGACGGTACACACTCCACAGTTGGCACCTCCTGTCCGTAGCTCAGAGAAGCGAGCTGCTGTAGGAAATAGAAAAGCAGCTCGCCAAGCTTGGTCAGGAAAGGACTCACTTTATAGTTCCCCGCGGAGTGCCAAACTGTAATAACTTAATATCATGTTTAGTAATCCGGCTGTAACAATCCCGAATTGGAATTCCGTCTTCTTAAGGATGAAACAATGGGCGCAGGGAAGTGAAAGTCACTTATACCGTCCTAGCCAGTGCATGGTTGAGCTGGAATCTAACCAGTCTGCAGGAGTCTGCTCTCACACCGTCCCTCAGAAACCAGGGTACCTTTCTGCATAACAGGTACGGAAGGCTTACCTGTTTCCTTCCCACCGTTATTTATAAGAAAACTGCAACCTGGGAGAGTAGATAATAGCTAATATGACACCATCTGTAACCATAAACTCTTCTCACAGATATTGAGCAGATCTGTCCCAGTGTTGATGTTGTACTACCATAGCATAAGGCTCAGGCTAGACCTTGGCATTGCATTTTGAGGGACAGAGGTAGGTATAATACAGCCATGGAAGTCGGTTTTTCCTGAAGCCTATGTCCTGGAGGTGAGAAATAGGACAGCCGAAGTACGAAGACAAGTAGTAGTGCAGAGGCAAGAGGTGGCCTAGAGATGAGACTGGGAGGTGTGCCCCAGTGTTTGGGCCCCTAGAGGCTCGGAGCATTGAGTTCTGAGCATGACTCATCATAATTTGCTCAGAGAAATCCCCCGCAGCAGGTGGAGTAGAGGGAGGCTTGGGAGTGGTTTGCTGTGACAATAAACACTGATAACAGGAACTAGTCATAAGGGTACAGAAAAGAAGAACACAGACTTTAAAACATAGAAGGAAAGATAGACTCCAAAGTCTAATCTTTACCACAGAATGGCCCTACTTAGTCACAGCTTCAAAAAGCAGCATAAAGTATACTTTAAAAATAAAAAAATCAGAGAGCCATGCTCCCAGAACAAGAGCCCAGCTCCAAGGACACTAAACTTCCCCAGCTCTCCCACTTTGCCTTAAGACCTGGTCTTTGTAGTCACTTTTCTGGGAATTTTCTGAATGAAATCATCTTGCACAAAACGTAATCTTTACTGAATGTCCTTGATGCATACCTAGTGACCTTAGTCATATCTCATGGAGTCTTGGAGGAAAAGGACACGGCTTATCTCAGTTGTGGTCTGGGGACAACACAGAAAGACAGGAGAGCCTGTACCACCCTGGTCTAACCACTCTGAGAGCGCTCCAGCTCTCCTTCCTCACTTAGAAAGTGGCCACTCCCAGTCCAGTGACCTAGATCTCCCTCCAGAGACCCAGAAGTCTCCCACACTCTCACCTTCCTAAAGAATTATGTCCAGGACTCTCACACAAGTGCGCTGACTTCTAAACCATATGCAGTCATACAGAAGGCCAACCCAGAAGTGTTTCAGTAAGTCTTCCAAGTCATTAGCTAGATGACCACTCAGCTTATGCCAATTTCCCTCTTCAGTTACTGAGCACCATCCTTATAGCATGGCAATTGCTACTGGCCTGGCAGGTGCATTCATACGCTTCTCGGTATTTTCATACCTACTTAGAATAGACAATGCTTTTAAACCTTTCAAAGTAAAATTGATTTTTTTAAAAAAAATGTAAATTATAAATGTAAAGCATGAATAGGTTTACCAATTTAAAGAGATTAAATTGATTATTCGAAACAAACAGGACATGCACACCCACACACACGGAACAAACCCATCAAAGTAGTTTTTCAGGTTCAATTCTAAACTGGAATTGGTGGGGTGATGGCACTTGATTTTGTGGACAAGGAAGAGAAAATGGAATACCCCTCTGCCTTGGTTTGGCTGTACACATGCTGCCTTGTGGAAGTTTTTCTGAGGTTTCTAGTTGTCCTGGTAGCCTTTCCCTGTAATCTTCCATCATCCATCACCTTGTGGCACAGCAGACGGCCTTCCTGTGCTTACGATCTTTGGGTTGCTTCATTGCCCCTGTTTGGTCTGATTGTTCTACCACCTCTTGACCAATCTTTGCACTGAGTTCCTGTTGAGTATTAAACATATACTCCAGTCTCAGACTTTCCATTCTCTGCAGAGACCTGGGTGCAGGCCTAGAAATTCATGCACACTATGCAGAAAGTCAGTTTTAATTGTCCATGACCTCTGTCAGAAGCAAGGTGATGGACTAGAGCTGAGCTTAAACACAGGCATTCTGGTCTAATCCTGCCAAAATCATTTTGCTCTCTTCCTTCTGTTTTCTTCTCCCTTGTCTTTTTTGTCCTACATGTTGCCTTGGCTGATCTTGAACTCCATAGCTCAAGGATTTATCCTTTTCATGTGCCCAAATAGCTGAACTATAGCATCACCATGTGCAACATTTGATTCATGCAGCTTTCATCTTTTGATCATTTCACCTTGAGCCGTGCTACCTGAGATTGAAGACCAGTATAATATATCTGTACTTGTCTGCATTTTAGCAGCTGCCTTTTACTATTATATATTTCTAGTGCATTTTGTACATAGCTTGTATATTGAGATACTTACTTATGTTTGAATTGCTTCCTTATTTTTTATTACCATACAGCATTGTATCATTTTTTAAAAAAAAACTATGTTATTGGGGGGTGTTTGATATACACACAAATGATAAATTTTCATTTCACATAAATGCATTCCAGAAAGGTTGCCTTTGGACTACGATTGAGACCATAGTTTCTGCCCAAAAAGAGCTGTGACGTTTTGCGGGATGCCCCTGGTGGTAAGTGTTGGAATGGCACATTCTGCCCACAGTGACTACAAAAGAAAATGTGTCAAGCCCCAGAAGGACAGGGTTGTGAGGAGGATCCTGTAATTTTAAATAGCTTCCAGTGATTCTAAAAGATTTCCTTCTTAAAGGGTGCAGCATTCTCTTATGCATGCTTTGGCATGTTAGCTAAACTTCAAATTAGAAATTTGGATTCCTTTCCTCTGGCAACATAACTGCTAAAACTTTTTTTAAAATATGTTTTTAAAGTTTTTTGAGACTATAAACTTGTTGCACAGGGAAAATATGTTGTTAAATAAGGAAAACTGATCAAAGTTCTCTGCCTTCCCTGGTCAGCACCACAGGTATTCTGAAAAAATAAAGGGAAATTAATGACCTATGTTGTCACCCCTTTGATGTAGAACATTATAAATTTCACCATGCAAGTACAGCATGCCTGCTGGGAGTGGCTCAAGGTAGAGAGTCTGCCTAGCAAGCATGAGGCTCTGAATTCAAATCCCAGTACTACCAAAAAGCAATAAAAAAAAAAAAAACCCCAAGTACAGCATGCCTTGTATTTGCTTTTGTTGTAATTCACCAATATTTATTTCTCTTCCTACCATGTTACTTACTGTTCAGAACAGAAATGGAGATGTGAGGGCTGCGGATATAGCTCAGTGGTAGAGTGCTTGCCTAGAATGCACAAGGACGTGGATTTAATCCCCATCACCA